CTGCTCTTCTTTAAAATTAAAAAAAAAATCAAAATATCTTTTATATTTTCGCCAAGTCCATTCTCTTCCCTCCCTCTCCAAATGCAGACACGATGAATACTTTTATCCTTCCAAACCACATCTTTATACTATTACTACACAGCATATGGAGCCTTGGTTGTGCAATGGTTAACAGCTCAGGCTGCTAACCAAAAGGTCAACAGTTCGAATCCCCCAGCCACTCCTTGGAAACCCTATAAAAACCCTTTGCCATGGGAGCAGTGGAGAATGAAGAGAACAAGATACAAGGAAAAGATGAGTCCAAAGGACTGATGGACCACAGCTACCGTGGCCTCCACTGGACTGAGTCCAGGGCAGTTGGATGGTGCCCGGCTACCACCACTGACTGCTCTGACTGGGACCACAGTGGAGGGTCCTGGATGGAGCTGGAGGGGGATGTAGAACAGAGTTCTAACTCACAAGGATGGACCAGATTTGCTGGCCTGACTGATTGGAGAGGCCCTGAGAGTATGGCCCCCGAACACCCTTTTAGCTCAGTGGTGAAGCCCCTCCCGAAGCTCAACGTTCAGCTGGGGATTGGAGAGCCTCATAAAACAAAGTGGGACTAATGAGGCACAGCAGTCCAGGGACAAGGACTGGAAGGTGGAAGGGGACAGGAAAGCTGGTGACAGGGAACCCAAGGCTGAGAAGGGACAGTGTTGACATGTCATGGGGTTGTTAACCATTGTCATAGGCCAATATGTGTACTGTTTAATGAGAAACTATTTGTTCTGTGGACCTTCACCTGGAGTACAATAAAAAAAATTTTAAAAAAAACCCTTTGCCATCAAGTCAATTCCGACTCAAAGTGACACTATAGGATAGAGTAGAAAATTCCAAGGAGCAGTTGGTGGATTTGAACTGCTGACCTTTTGGTGAGTAGCCATAGCTCTTAACCACTGTGCCACAAGGGCTCCATGGAAACCCTATGGGGCAATTCTCCTCTGTCCTATAGGGTAGCTATAAGTCGGAATGGATTCAATGGCAATGAATTACACAGAATACAGTGTTTGATATTTTTTTATAAATATGTATTTTGATATTTTATATAAATAGTTTCTATCATGCCTATTGTTTTGCACTTATTTTATGTCACATAAAATTCATAAAATAGAAATAGAAATATAATTCAGGTAACCAATCTGAGTAATTTCATAGAAAAGATTCTGGAAATGTTAATTGTGCTTACCTCTGGATAGCAGGGTTATTGATTACCTTTTTCTTTTTTTTTTAACACAGTTCTTTACCTAATGAAGATTCTCCAAGCCCCGCAATAAGCAAGTATCACTTTTATAATCAGAGGAGCAATAAAGTGATTTAAAAGAAAATGTTGTCTTACCACAGCAAGAAAATCTCTCTTCTGACTCCACCCGTTTATGAAGCTGGGACGGGAACTTTGGGAAATCTTCATGAAGTTAATTACATCCTCTTAGTTCCAGTCTCCTTGCTTAGAAAATAGAAATATGAGTAATACAGGGCCTTTCTATTTTACGGGCAGCTGTGAGGGAAAATAGGGTAGTACATGAGGAAGCATTTTGCAAATTGCAAAATTTGAAATAGATATAAAGATCAGGATAGGGATGGGCAGTGGGATGAGAAGGAGGAAAAAAGGAGGATGAGGAGAAGGGGAGCTTCACTTTGTATGATTGAAGTAAGAGAAAATGAACATGGATAGTGGTAATATTTGGAGGCATCATTAGAACAGTTTTCCTGTAGAGAACATGAACTTTCGTGTTATGGAATTTTGGAAATTATGTAGCACTAGATTTAAGATGGAGCCTTGGTGGCATAGTAGTTAAGAGCTCGGCTGCTAACCAAAAGGTTGGCAGTTCAAATCCACCGCCGCTCCTTGGAAACCCTATAGGCCAGTTCTCCTCTGTCCTATAGGGTTGCTATGAGTCGGGATCGACCCGACAGCACCTAACAACAACAACAGATTCAAGACATTTTCATTCCCATCATTAAGTTATGTGGAGATGGCATGAGAGCCTTCTGAAAACTTGGGCTAGGTCTCTGGCTGAGTTTCCTTATGCAGAGGATTGTAGGAAGAGGAAACATGTTCCCTCACCTCCCACCACCACATACACTCTCGGGTAGGAGTGGTGGGTGTGGGGGTAGTGGTTGAAGCAAGAAATAAATTACTTATTTGATAAAAACCTGGTGAAACAAGAAAATAAACATAAAAACAACAAAAGCACAGCTAATTGTAATAATTTATTCCTAAATCCATAACATTCTGTGTGTCTTCTTCTTTTTTTCTTTTTTTTGGCTGTTTTTTTTTTTATATTTTATTGTACTTCAGGTGAAGGCTTATCTGTGTGTCTTCTTGATCAGGTCCCTTCCCTTTATTGATCGTTAGTGTCATTTGTTAGATTACGGGAGTCAACTAAATCATCTTGTAAGTCCCTTTAAGAAGTAAAGTTCTAGCAATCTCAGATTCGAATGCTATATAACTGTAATCTTCTCTTTGTACACATCTGCTAAATGGGCAATCTGAGCTAAATGATCGCCTCTCCTTCTACAAAGACATTCAGTTGACTGTCTTGATAAACCTTGTTCACTGTGCTCAACGGTTTGACTGAAACATTACAATGTAATATCATTACTCTATTTTACCTTGGGAAAGTTACTTTAGCTTTCTGTGTTTTAATTCCTTAATTTGTAAGCTGGAAATAAAGAGTACCTACTTTGGAGGGTCATTGTGGTGCTATATAATATACCCGGTTGCAGTCAAGTCGTCAAGTAATTCCGACTCAGGTGATCCCATGTGTGTCAGAGTCGATCTGTGCTCCACAGGGTTTTCAATGGCTGTTTGTTAAAAGTTGATAGCCAAGACTTTCTTCCCAGGTGCCTCTGGGGACTTGTACCTCAAACCAGTTAGCAGCCAAAATGGTCAACCATTTGCACCACCCAGGGGCTGTTATATAACATATTATACATAAAATGATCAGGGTAGTGTCCAGCATGAGTAAGTGTGTAATCAATGTTAGCGATATCATTGATCTGACAAGCTTTGCATTTTTTTCCCTAAATTGTTCTTTAAACTTAGCAGCAGTTATGAGCAGGCTATCACTGAAAGATGGAGCTTGACTCAGAAACCTACATCCTGACTTAAAACTCTAAGGAAACATATCCCAGAAAATCTAATGAATACCATATTCTGCCATTAAGCTTCAAGTGGCTAAAAAGGCTGTTTTTCTCAAGCATAGATTTGGTTTGGTGGCACATCCATAAGCTAAATTCACATAAAAGCTACAAACTAAGTCAAATAAACCCAAATTAATGTATTTTTTACAAAAGGATAAATAGAGCGTTTTATTAACACTTTTTTTGCAGCAACAAAATGACAGTCCACATCTTTTCATTCAACACAACAAAAGCTATGACCACATTACATCACTTGGAGACACAAAGCAAAAGATATTTTTATTTTTCTTATGGTCAAGAATGGTTTGCGTTTTTTAAACAAACTTTATGTTTTATCTTTGCAGTAGCAGGGCCTCCAGTCACTAGCACAATACAATGAACAGATCAAATATTCAGAAGAGACAATTAAATACACCAATAATATTTTGATTTGAATTGGGAAATGCATTATTATCGTTTTAGAACATTGAAGAGATCTGATGTTAACTTTTTAAAAATAAAAAAATCATTCCAACCACCCAAACAGCTACCACAAGCAAAATGAAGGTAATATACAGACAGGAAATTTTATGCATTGCACTTATTGCTTGGTACACAAATGTTGCAATTCCTGCTGAGTTATATTAAGAAATGGCAAGCAAAATGTCTCTTCCCCATCTAAAATTCTATGACTTTATGAAAGTAGAAATTGCAATCCCCTACCCCAACATTAGGTGTATGCTATTTTTGGTTTTGTGTAAAGATTGTTTATTATGTTTTGTGCATGGATATGTATTATATAGATATAACTTTAATATAATTTATTGTCCTATATATTTTAGACAAATATCTTTTAAATGGGACTTTAAATAATAAAATTGTCTACTTACAATATCTCTATTAAGTTTATCTTTTCATATTATATATAGCACTGTGGCACAAGTTTCATATAGTATTTAATTATTAAGGACGAAAGGTATCTAAATGATTTTCTATTTTCTTTGTTTTTAATATTGCATTTTAAGGGCTATATCTCTTTAGTAAATTTCTTATTAGATTCTTAAAGGTGTATATATCTTTTTTTTCCTAATGCAAGTTACAACCAGTACAAAGTTGTAATAAAAATACACTGAAGTCTGTTTCTTTTTTATATTTTTTGCAAAAAAGTTATCTGATATGCTACATGAAAAGTTGGATTTTACTAAAATGTGAAGTGCTTTATACTGTTAGGTAAATGAATGGAAGAACATGAAGCATACCCCTCATTTTACAAGGTCTCTTTCACAGAAATATTTGTGCCCAAGCGTTTCATATAAAACACTGCAAGTTATTCCTTTTGAGGTACACCAAAATATCTCACATTATATAATCTCAATAATTCTTCAACACATCTTGCTAGTTGCTAGCTCACAATATACTTCTCTGATTGAGAGATATCCCAATTACATGATTTACACTCAACAAATGTTGCCAATGCCTGATGCAGCAAACATGACAGCTTCACTTTTTGTTAAACATGACTTTTGTGTGATATCTTGCTATACAGTGTAACAAATATATATAAGTGCATTTTTCATGATCAATTAGCTTTGGCTTCCTAACCTTTGTAATATGGAATGTGCCACCTGCTTTTGTTGTGCTTTATTAAATGGTGATGCTTTATGAAATGGTGATGAACCCAGTGAGTAACTACTTGCTTGTACAATTTTGACCAGTCAACCTGTAAATCACAAATGCTAGAATGGATGACCTGAATGAAAATGATGGAATTTCACAACTTCTACAGATTGCACTTAATGGTAACTTCATGGGATTGTTTTCATTTTTACAGCAAGACTTGCCAGGTTGATATGTTAACATGTTTATACCACATTATTTTAAATTTTTGTGCAATCACAATTAATGTAATCACAAACACTAAAAATAAATCTAGCAATTAGCTTTGTTATGAATAATCATTTGAGTCCTTATAGGTGTATGAGTCTTGTACTTCTTCTTGTACAAATTCCTCTTTCTTTTCCCATCCATTGGGCCAACCTCCATTGGCCTGTGTTGTGGCACCATAGGACTTAGTGGTACCATAATTTATATAATTTTGAGTAATGTCCCCTGTTTCTTCATCGAGTTCATCTTCATGGATAAATCCACACTTTTCTTCACTTGTTTCCTCAGGGTCTGCCCAGGGTTGCTTCTCTCCTGAGGCAAATACTGCATAAAATATAACTCCGCCATAGTGGACTAGAGCTGCGATCAGGAAGACATACTGCCACTCTTCACGTGACTGCAGTGACAAAAAGTGACACTGTGAGAATAAACTTCCCATGACTGAAAGCTTAACATCTTCACTGCATACTCCACTGTCGAGTTTTTCGTAAAACCCTATCTTAAATGGAAACCTAGGTTGTGATTATATAAAGCCAATATGCTAATAGAAACCTTCTAAAATGCCATGATTTTCATTATTTAAAATTTAAAAAATGTTAAGGTTCTGAAATAAAACTCCAAATATATCTATTGTCTGTTAATTTTTTTTATCATAATCTCTCTTTTAATTTCCATTGATTTTAAGTATCTTTCTCTCCCCTGCCTTTTAGTTCCTTCTTGTAAACTCTAATTTTGGAACTCTGTATATAAACTCTATAAATAAGCCATAAAAATATCCTTCCATGGATAACTGAAGAGGAGTCTATATTGAGGTTTACAAATAAATCTCAGAAGACTTCTGCTTGCCTTTTCTAATACTCTAGAAGCAAAAGGGTATTCACCACACCAGGGATATCAGAAATCTTAAAATGTGCTGAGAGGTTGGGGAAGTAAGCTCCCTCAGAGTTCTTGGGGAGATATTTTCTTCTGAGCCTCAGTTATCTTCCCTACTCAGAAGTGGGGTAACTGCTCCAGAGAAACACTGCTAAAGAGGACATACTAACTCTTTTCCCAACCATGACAGAGAATCTTCTACAACTGAGATTTGTTTTGCTCCCTCTTACCTTATTCTTTGTCATTGCACCAACGATGATGGGGCAAACCATTCCTGACAATGTGCCAACACCATTTGAAATGCCCATTAAGATACTGGCATATCTTGGAGCAATATCTAAGTGGTTAACATTGAAACCTGAAATACACACATAAGCTTTCACTCAGAGAATCCTAAACCTCTTAGAAGTAAGTGTCTATAAAATATTGTCTACCATACTCACCACAACTTCTTACAAGTTACTGAGTACTTAGCATTTGCTTAGTAACTACTTTCTGATGATTAAGCTCAGGGATATGATGAGAATGGAATGAGGTATGGTTTCTCATCCAGTATTTACCAGTAACGTGGATTAAATAATTCTCCTCCACAGAGAGAAGAAAATATTTTCACAGTCTACTTTAACCAGAAAAAAAAAGGGGGGTGGGGTGGGAGAGGGGAGGGGTAAGAAGGGGAAAGCAAGCAGTATCAAATCTAAAACATTTTTTATTTTTCTTTTCTGGTGGAACTATGTTGAGAAAACCTTTTCAACAGTCAAAATATCAAAGAGGAAAGTAGAAAATATATGTCTATTATCAAAAGCCAAAAATCAGGATGTTGCAAGCACACACACAGAAAAGTATCTTACCAGATATAGCAAATCCACTGAATCCCACTGCAAGTACCAAGAATGAGATAGCTACTCCTCTAGTATGAGAATAGCCAACGACCAGAAGCAGTGTTGCTTCCATGCCAAAACCTTCCGAAGCAAACATACGGAAACAGCTGAGAAATTCATGTAAGTTTTACAAATGAGCCAAAAGTGCTAAAAATGTTCATACTTATTGACCTAGCAATTCTACTTCAGGGACTCTATGTTAAAAAATAATAATAGTAGTAATAGTTTTTGCACTGAGATGATTGCTAATTATGATGATTAGCCCTCCTTGTATTATTAAACATCAAAAGCAACCTAAAGTTTCAATGGTGGGAAGGGTGAAGTTAGTTACAATAAATACAGATGATACACTATTAGGTGCCGTCGAGTCGGTTCAGACTCATAGAGACCCCATGTACAACAGAACGAAACACTGTCCCAGTCCATTGGACAATGTTCCTCTGCCATTCATAAGGTTTTCACTGGCCAAATCTTTTAGAAATAGATCGCCAGGTCCTTCTTCCTAGTCTATCTTAGTCTGGAAGCTCCGTTGAAACTTGCCCACCATAGGTAACTATGCTGGTATTTGAAATGTCAGTGGGATAGCTTCTAGTATCACAGCAACACACAAGCCACCACAGTACGACAAACTGACAGACGCATGGTGGGATACGTTACTGCGGAGTTATAAAGAGTTTGCAGTGTGACGGGAAAACAATTTTTAAAGAACAATCAAGAAACAAATTTAACTACAACTATGTAATGTAACATGCATAAAATGTTATTCACTCAAGTAGTTACGAACTTAGTGAAGTGAAAAGCATGCCCTTAATGCCATTTATGTACTTACCACCACAATTCATGATCTTTCTCACGGTAGTAGTTGAAAGAATTTGCTTGCTTCTTAGAAAATCTGCAATTTGTCCTCCAATAGGCACAATAATTGTCATTACTAAGTGTGGTACAGCAGACAGCATGCCAACCTGATGGAAACCAAGAAGGGGAGGAGTATACATGACCATAAATAATGTGACTTCACGATCTTGGTTTTCTGAATCCAACATATACTCTTTATAGACAAAGAAGGAAAAAAACTGTCTCCAAATGACCACTTAAGTAATAACTACAATAGAAGAAATTAAAATTAAAAAAAAATCTGAGTGAATTTACTTTGACCCCTTTTATCTTTTAGATGAAGGGAATACTTATTTTTCACTGTGTTTTGAGTCAGTAAATGTTGAGCTTATGAATCAACCATCCTTAAACTCACAGAGCAAATCACATTTATGTGTCTACTTTATGTTCTTAATTATGTTTGTACAAATTCATCAACAGAAGGAGTGAGGAAGAGAGAGAGGAAGAGGGAAAACTGGAGAGAATGGGGAAGAGAGAGAGGAAAAACATTCTACAAACCTTGAAGAGACTGTATTTGAAAAACTCATTTTTAAATTCATAATAAAGTAAAAACTTTAACTTCATCTTAAATATTTTTTTTCTTGTGAGTTTTACAGCATGATTTTAGTTTCTATAGATTATGAGCCCAGAAAAAGCAGATCAATTCTTCCATTTATCCATTTTCTATGTCAAGTAACAATACTTGGTCACATTGCCATAGAGTGGTGTATGGTTTCTATATAAATTTTAGACTAACAGCCCAATCAAAAACCTAACCAACCAGTATCAGTTCAACAAGCATTTATTACCATTAATTATGTGCAAGACATTGTTCTAGGAACTATGAAGGCAGGAAGTATGAATAAAGTGCATTTTACGTGTATATTACTACGTACATGGACTTGGCAAATTTTGAATGTAAACATATATAGGAAGTTTCTTACTAAGTATACTTTAAAGGACAGTGCCTGGCATGTTACATGGTAGCTACTAGATATTATTGGTGTATACGTATGTCTTTCCAATTAGATTTTTGTAGGTTTGAAACAAGGATTCTGTTCTATTTTACAGTGGTATAGTGTAGTGATCATAAACTTGGTTGGGTTGGTGTGATGATTAATTGAAATAGTGAATGATTCTAAAGTAGCTTAGAGTAATTTAACTTTCCCTTCGCCCCCAGATGGAAGTTACTACTATTTTATTCCCATTGCATTGAAGAAACTGTGACTTAGAGTAGTTACATGACCGTCAGAGCCAAGTTTTGAGTCAGTTCTGAGTTCAAAGACTGAGCTCTTTCTTAACCACTGTGTGTGGCACCACTGCTCTTTGAGAGAGAAAAATCAAATAAAACCAGACAACATATATGGATGTGCTCAGTTTAGCTCAAATCCTGGCATTTAGGAACCCAATAAGTGTGAGATAAATAAAGGTAGAAGCTGAACTAACATTAGGCTAAACATCATTGCTTTTGTGAATAACATCTTGAAAAAGTGATTCTTTATCCTTAACTGAAGTAGACACCTTTAAAGCAATCAATGTGTGGAAAGACATCTTTGAAACATTCTGAAAGGCACCATGTTAGGATGTGCATGTGGTATTTGTAATATTCATTAGAAGTAGAATAAAAGGTTGAAAGTGACCTGGGTTTCTTCAGTCCACAAAATTGGCCTTCATTTTGACCCAGAATTTGAGATTTGTCAAAAGTTCGTAAATTGAACATCCTCTGCTATTTACTATCTACTCAAAGAAACATCTGATTACTTCATTAAATTTGCTCTCTCAGCAAAATGTGTGTGGAACGCTCTATGGGAAATGCAAAGAGGTAACAACCGAGGTTGAATAAACATAAATTTTGGGATATTTTAGCCCAGCCCTGGTGGCACAATGGTTAAGAGCTCAGCTGCTAACGAAAAGGTGGGCACTTCAAACCCATCAGCTGCTTCTTGGAAACCCTATGGGGCAGTTCTACTCTGTCCTATAGTGTCACTATGAGCTAGAATCAACTCAATGGCAACGGGTTTGGCTTTGGTTTTTTGACTTGCGTTTGAGGATACTGAATCTCCCAGTTTCCTAGGCAATATGTAGACATATTCTTCATGTGATCTCAACAGGGTCACAGGAGTTTAGAACTTCATGAAAATTATTCAACTGTCTTCTCAGCTTTGAGTGACTTATGATGAGTAATCATTTACCACATGGTCAGAATGATCAAAACCTTCTTACTGTATCATTATTCATGATAATTGCACAGCAATTCGCTCATTAAGGTTTTGCAAGAGTAGGCTAAATGTTTGGAGTCAAAAACTGATTGACTCTTCATAGATATCCCAAATCATTAGACTTTACCTCACCCTCCTCTGTGCTTCTCTGTGTCACAGTCTAGACTTCCTCTTTCCCCAGTGGATCCATATCCTGTTCAGAAACTGGCTGGTATCCCAGAGCAAAGAGCAGCCACTCAACACTAATCTTCCTCTAAATATGAGACTGAAAATGAATGACTGTCTCTTCTCATTTGGCTAGCTCCAGTAATCTGATGTCTCAAACCTGTTCCTGATTAATTTTACACTGTCTTCCCCCTGATAAGCCATTCTCAAGGAGCTAAAAATTTTACATACGAGCATAGGTTAAGATATATCTATAATTCTTCCTTAACTGAGCCAATATGCCTGGATTGAATATTAAGCCATAGCTCTTGTAGTTTTGTCGGTAAGATACCCAATTTAACAGAGATAGAGAAGAACTAGCTCCCATGTAAATATTTGGTCTCACGTAAATTTTGCTAAAAATTCTGATAGAAGGTATTAATATCATTATTTTATGGATAAGAAAATTAAGGTTTCAAATTAATCAGAAAACGGCCTAAGGTTATGTATTCATAGGTTGTTGTGGAGCTTGCTTGGATTCAAAGCTGTATCAGCAATGATCCAAAGCCCATGCTCTCTTTTCTCATCACTTCCTCTAAACATTTTTCAGGTGAGAGGCTTTTTTTTGCCAGTCTATTTAAAATCTTCAAATAAATCTGTGTGTGTAGCATTTGTCCAAGGTTTTAGTTAAAAATATAACAAATGAATCAAATCAACCCATCTGGTTATTACAATTAGCTTTTGCAAAATGTCATTGCTTTTACTCAAGCATTTTCAATTAATTGGAGCCACAGGGTGAGAATGACCACACAGTCTCATTAACATCAGTTGGCTCCTTCACTCCCCCCACGACACCTGACTTTATTAATAGCCTCTCAGTGTCATATTCGTCCTAGATTATGAAAATGGACTCGCACCTCCAGCAGCCTTTGTTGAGAAGTGTAACACCTCTCAGAGCTCCCAAAGGGTACCCTGCGATGTTTGATCAGCTCCAGGGAGAAGAGCCCAGCCTGAAGCAGCCATTCTTCTCAGGGATGGAGGAAACAGTTTCCTTAGAAACAGGGATTACAAAAGAGCTCTTAGAATAGCTACTCCTATACTCGGATTTTCTTTAGTTCCAGGCCTTGGATAGTCTTTCAAGTAGAGGCATAATATGAATAGTGAGCCCAGCTGGACTTATGTAATGACATGAAGAGAAATAGCAAAACCACTGCCATTACAGACAAGTGTATTTAGGATTTAGCAAAAGGTCTGGCACATGGATGACTTTCATCAAATACATTCTAAATGCTTGAATGAATATGTGGTTTACCTGAATTTGAAATGGTACAGATAAGAGGAATATAAACAACTCTCAAAGGATCTGAGCCTAAATTTGATTCTGGCATTTATTATCAGCATGCTCGTGGCAATTTCAATATTTTCCCTCATTTTTGTTTCACTGTTAGTTAAGTGGATCTTATGATAGCTATCCAACGGGTCGACCAAATAAGGTTGTTCCTGGGTGTGAAAGTATAACTTTAAACTTCAACCTCCTATGTAAATATAGAGTAGTATTCTTATTTCATTTTCATTTTACCTGTATCTAAAAAAATCTCAGAATTATTACATTTCCATAGCCACATACAAATGGCTGTGGCACTTCACATGTTGTGCTGTATTAGTAACTTATTTTTTTGTCTACTCCACCAAGCTGTGAAGTCTTGGAGGACAGAAACCATATTTTATTTCTGAATGCAACATAAAGCTTAGCATATCATGTTCAATGAAATGCTTGTTAAATGAATAAATTGGATGAACAAAATACAAGACTTTTTCTGCATGTTTTTTGCTATTCTCATATCTTTTATCTGCACAGATCTCTTAAAGCATTGAAGAGGAAGAGTTAGACTGGTAATAATATAAATATAACTTCATTATATAATAGAATACTTTTTCCCTCACTGTTATGTTGTTACTGACCTGAGACTTAAAGGCAGCTTTGTTTTATTGTAGGAAGAAGGCTATACTGCTGTCCACCCCAACTGGGATGTAAGCTCCATAAGGGCAGGGGCTGATTCTGTGTTGTCTGTATTCCCTGCACCAGTTGTTTCCCATCAGTTATTTGTTGAATGAATAAACAAAAGAATGAATGAATAACTCATAAAATTTAGAAGATAAAATCTTGGCAGAGGAACTTGATATTCACTTAACAAATACAAAAGTCTTCCAATATTTAAATAACAATATTTTCTACATACCTTGCTGATTTCAAATCCAAAGACCTCCTCAAAATATGCTGGCTGACTAATAAGCAGTAAATAAAAAGTCCAGCTTCTGCAGAAGTTTGCCACAATTATTGCATAGACAGGCATAGATGTAAAAAACTTCCTCCATGGAGTCTTGAATTTCTGAAATCCCAAAAAGAGAGTCATTCTGACCATTAAAATATTTTCTGACATAAATGGGAATGATAGAGTACTCTGCATCTTCAGGATGAGTATGGCGTGGCATGAGGAACATGTGGGCAGGACGTAGGAAACCATTAACTGCAACAATCCAGGTAGGCTTAGCTACATGACTAATTAACAGAAGAGAAAACATTAAGTTATCAGCCTCTCCAGCTTTAGGAATACACAAGGTTACATGTTTATAGAGAAGTAATTTCAAAAGCACAAAGTTTTAGTGTCTAAGTTTTGTCTTGTTTTTCATTTTTGGGGGGAGAGGGGAGTGTTGTTTTTGTTTTTCATTGTTATGGCAGTGATCATGCTTCAGCTAAAACTCACTGTCAAATCAGTGACCTTGTTGGTATCCAAAGGATTTTACCCAAAACTTTCTGAGAATTTAAAATAGTTGGAAGGATAAAGATAAGAAAAAATTAAGAATGTAACACTCCAGAACCTACCTAAAGTCAATGATTCCACTATCTATCTATAAATTATCTCGATAGCCAATGGGTATCACGTGTGACACCGGAGTGCAAAGTTCTGTAAACTCACAAGTGTACATAGCTGGGTTATAGAATCTGGCCACCCAGCACGCTCTGAGCCTGCCATAACTAGTTATTTATGATATTCATAAATATTTGATATTTACAAAATTCAGGCTGAGTTCAAATTCAACTTAAATATAATTGCCTTTGTTTATGACACCTATTAAAAAAATCAGACCTAGTTTACATAAAGATCCTGTATATTCCCAAATATAAAGCAAGGATTTCCTCCCAAGACTAATATGTCAAAACTGTCTCTCATATTTTAGAACACTTTCTCGATTATGTTATTTTGAACAAAATACCATTTGAGAAAGAAACAATAGACTAAAATAACTTTGTTTAATGCTAGTTTGGGACACCTGACCTATCCAAATTGGTAAGAGAAGAGGCAAAAAATTTTTGACACAGATTTAGTAATTATTCCTAGAGGTAAATCCTCAAAATTGCAAGTATTGATTGTGACTGTAATTAAGCCTTTTAAAGATCACTTTGAAAGCAGTATGATAAGTTACACTGTCATCGTCATAAATGCATATAATTCAAAAGAGAAACCAAACCAAACCAAAAATCTGTCCTAATGGTATATAAATGAGTACTGTGGCTTAGAATAGAAATTTACAGTGACTGCCACATAGATGGATTCAAAAAGTGCTATTGCTCAAAAATTTCAATATACTCTGGGGAAACTCTTATGTCAATGATAATAAAAATGGCCAAATATAGGAAAGTCTGCATTATAATATACTTTTATAGGAAATGACTTCAGAATATTAGAAGTAAAAAACTTTTTCTGCTAAGGTGTTTCTTTTATTCATGCCAAGACCACTTCCACTGGAAAACTTCTATTCTTCAGGTGGTAAGGCACTTCATCAAATGTAAAAGTATCTAATTCTGTACCTTAAAAATTATTAGGCGCCAGAGAGGGGAATATGGTATTGTGATAACATTCTGTTTATTGAACTGGGTGTTGGTTTTCGCAGATGTGTTTAGTTTATAAAATTTCAGCAAGCTGTCTGCTTATGATTTGTGCATTCTTCTATATGTATGTTATATTTAAATGTAAGAATTTTAAAGAAAAAAGATATTTAAGAGACGTTAGAGTTAACTGCAATGTGTGATTCTTAGTTGAATCCAGACTCAAAACAAACAGCTATGAAAGACATATGAATTAAACCAAACCAGTTGTCCTGGAGTAGATTTTGACTCAGAGCAATCCAATACGTGTCAGAGTAGAACTGTGCTCCATAGGTTTTCAGTGGTTGATTTTTTGGAAGTAGATCACCAGGACTTTCTTCCGAACCCACTATAGACAAGCCTATATTTAGCTTCTCCTCACAGCAACTGCTGTGAGTCCCTGGGTGGTGCAAATGGCTAAGCACTCGATTACTAGCTGAAAGGCTGGTGGTTCTAATTCACCCAGAGGCACCTAGGAAGATTGGCCTGGCAATCTGCTTCCAAAAGGTAACAGCCTTCAAAAACCCCCTGGAGCAATTCTACTCTGCATACATGGGGTTGGCCTGAGTCAGAATACACTCCACAGCAACTAACAACAACACAGCAACTGCAGCTGGGGAGCACGAGAGCACACTGTCAACCCTCACACTCCCACATCACTTGTTTCTTAAATAGTCCCTATTAGAAAGAAGTTATAAGTCCATTTACAGAAGGAAACGGGAGGGGGAAAATTCTAATGCCAGTCTATCCAACTCATGAAACAACCTCAATGCAAGAATTTTTTTTTTTTTTTTTTAAATCACTGAAGTTTAACTTCTGAGTGATATCCAATACAGATTTTTTTTTTCTTCATTAAAAGCCAAGCTATGCTCAGCAATACGGGGTGACAGACCTTTTCACCTAGGATGAGATGTCAAAGATGGCCATTCTCTAAGAAACAGAGCATCAAGGCTGGAATCAAAAACACTTAGAATGGGGAGGGGGAAACCTACTGAAAGAAAGTGGAAGTATAATGTGCAATGGGGCATTGTTTTCCCTCAACCAGTCCGTGGTACCTTCAACCCTTAGCATAAGGAAACTGAGTTACTGATTAGGTTGCTGAATTACAGAATCTGTCTCATTATACGATTTTCCCTGTTTCTTTTTTTTTTCCTTGTTTTTTAATAATATCAGGTGGCTATTCATTAATTAATATCTAAGATATATTCATGTCATATGGACTAAAGCATTTGTGTTACTGAAATAGTACTGTTTTCTCTCTCAATAGGCAGATCCTGTCCAAGAAACCAAATCATTATCAGAAAATGGCTTTACAACATCATCTTTGCAATAGTTGAACTTCACAATAAAAATTCTAAAAAATTATGACAGTTTATCAAAAAAATGGTTAAATTATATTAAGAATTTAAGAATTTTTTAATGTCAGCTGTCCATTAACAGATAATTATTGATTGGACATTTCCTATATCACATATAAATATGCATACATAAAACCCACATTTAAAATATTCAATAAACAAAACAGCCTTTTTCATGACTGTGCAAGGGGATTTGGAATTTGAACTGTTTTTAAAAACTTATGTTTGCAGTCATAGCTATAATCTAGGGCTGATTAGAAGATGCTTAAGAAAAGATAAAGGGAAAAAAAAGAAATTACAGATGGAGAAAGTGGTAAATATTCCTAAATAGCTCAGGGAATATGGATGGATTTTAAAAAATCATGATTGATATCAAATTAGTTTTGTTGAATACAGATTCATAAATTGGTTGGTTGAAGGGGGGTGGCGTGAGGGATAAGAATAGGAATATACACCATAATAAAGTTCTTACTTCCATTGCACCTAAAAGATTTGCACTCTCTCCAATGCTTTCTTCTATGTACCTACGTTCCTCATCTGTAATAGTAGGATGCTTTGCAGGACTCTCGTAAGACACCAAAAGCCAAAACATGTACCAGACCATTCCAAAGCTTCCTGCAAATAAGGATGCAAAGGGAGGGAGTCAAAGAAAGCTATCACAAATACTTTAATTTAATAGTCATTTTGCTGGCATAAAACTACAATATTCTTATCATAAACACGTTCTATAGGATGGAGAATTTGAGCTTCTCCAACAGACTTTAGACATCTCTTCTTGTTTTTTACCAGTGAACTCCAAGCTTCCTGAACACCGGCCCTGTGGTTTTATCTCTGTCCCTATTAAACAATGCCTGCTACACAGAAACAATAAATAATTGTTAAATGGATGCAGTGTGTTGAATGCATTCATATAACCAATAAGTAATTACTGAACAGTTACTGTTCTGGGCACTCTGCTAAGTGTGAGAAATATGATGAACGGGACACAATTCCTGTCCTCAAAGAGTTATGTTTGGGATTAATCCTTTTATTATCTGTCTGCTTAAATATATGAAAGTGATCTGCATTTCCGGGGAAGAGAAATGCTCATTTCCTTCTTCTGCTAATGCTTCCAGATCTAGTAAATAGGCTACTGAATAAAATCCAACAGATCCTTTAAGCCCAAGCGTCTATATTACATGAAAAATGAGTCTCTGTAATTAATATAATAACATAAAACTTTATGTGACTGTATACTATATTATTTTTAGCACACACTATTGCCTATGGATCATTCTTCAGAAAAATGAAAGTTATAAATTTTAACACAATAAACTGTTTGCAAGTCCTTTTTCATCCTTTCTTTCTTCAACATTTCACCATTAAAACATATCATTATTCTGTAACATAAATCTATAAGCATTAATAAAAGAATTTCAAGTGATTGATTCTGATTTCCCAGCAGCTGACCATTTCATTGTTTCCTAATATTATTCTCTTGTTCCCTTGGGTAACAATCTAAACGTCCCTGATCTTTATAATACTTTTTTCTGACGGTTCAATCTTTTCTGAGTGTTCCTTAATACCATAGCTTCTGATGTGCCATTTTCCTATTAATTACTAAAGATGACAGCAAACACTATTTGGAGTCAGAGTGTGAAGATCCGATATAGTGTAGTGGTTATAAAATAAGACTCTCCCAGATTCAAAGCCTGACTGCATCATTCATTAGCTGTATGATCAAATCAGAAACTGAATTTTTTAAAACTTCCACCATAAATGGGATATCAAGTCCTCTTTTACAGGACTGTGGTAAAGAAAAGTTAAAGCAGATAATGTATACAACAGCCAGCACAGTGCTTGGCACAAAATAAACATCCTATAAATGAGAGCTCCTGTAATTTAGTGACAATAATCATTACCATTTATTGACTGTATTCTATGCCAAGCATTCTGCTAATTGCTTTAAATACATCTTTTTTTAAAACTTAACCAACTATGTAAGATTTATTAATTTTTCAAACAACTGAATCTTGACTACGTGGCTCAAAGACCCAATTTTTGTCATACACAGCAAGTACTATGATGTGATATTTTCAAATGATCTAAAGTTTACTCTTTGACTTTGAACCATTCAACAATAAACATTACATGAGGTATAGCTTGAAATAATGAGGCTGGTTTTCATGAGTGCCTTGCAGAAATTGGTATTCTTACTGTAAGGTCATATCGTATTTTCAATTAAGTAATGGGTTAAGCCACAAAATAGAGGATTTAATGAATGGCAATTCCAACTTGTACTATACACCCTATAATTAAGTGCTTTTAAACTTCTTTGAAAGTCTTGGGAAAGCTATGGATGAAAAATAAGATGAAAAGTTCTTGTCGGGGGGGGACACACAACATATGTACAAATTCAAGTATGATTTAGGGAATTCATGGATCCAAAACTCATCTGTGACTTTTGAACCAGGTTAAGAACTCATACTAGCAATAATATTTAATAAGACTCTGCAAACATTAGATTTTACTTCAATAAAGGAAAATTTTAAAATAGGAATGAATCAGGGCAAATTGGAAGCAGCCAAAAATTGCTCTACCACATGACTTCATTAATCTTTCAGACTCTCATGTCCATTTTCAAAGACAGTATTAATCAGTGACAATATCAGCTGGAATCCAGATCTCTTCTATTTCACCTTTCCTCATTATTAAAAAAAAAATGCCTCTTAGAGAGAAAGACTATAGAGATACTTTGAAATGGTAAGCTTTCAACTTCTGGGTAAAAAGTGATTGGAAAGGATGTTTGGATTTAGTGTTTCTTTTCATTTCCAATTTTAATCTGGGGTCTTAACCTCCTTTAATTCTAGGGACATAAGAACTAAGATGTGCTGCTGCATCAGCTGACTGCTGATATTTCATCACAAAACTGAACTGTTGTATCAACACTTCTCCCACCTTCCAGCTTTCTATCCCCATTTAATCTTAAGGAGGCAGGGTCAGGGAAATAACCAGCAAAGCAGAAGCAAAGAAGAGATCAGGTGTTACCTAGCTCTTCCTTTCTACTCAGCTTATAATCAAGAATAATTTGCTTATTTTTCTTCATAACCAAACATGATTTATGTCATGAATCACAAAGTTTCCATCAGCAATGAGGTTACTTTTAAAAATAAGAGACAGCAATGTAGGGAAAATAATAGAATTAAAATATTTTCCTTAAATTCCAAATACAGGGAAAGGACCCTTAAGGGGAGAAAATAGGTAAGTAAATACAAAAGTATATCCAGTGATCTATATCATTGCTTGCAATCACTTTTCTTTTAGCTTATGCACATTTCTTTTTAACTCTATTGTATAGAAATGCAACATACCATAGACATAAAATACTGAAGACCAGCCAGTATACTGTACAAGAATGCCAGCCAAAGGCATGGCAATCACAGCTCCGGCGTAGGAACCTAAAGCAGAAAAAGAATTGGAGGAAGGTAAGTGAAGCCAATAGAAATTCTTGACTCAATCTTATGTTCCTTGATTGGCTCATACAAGCACATAGTTGCACACCCATGTGCATTCTCACTCATACCCGTAAACATACTCCCTCCTCCCCACAAAACACACACATGGCAAATCCAACTTGTACTATACACCCTAGAAATAAGTGCTTTTAAACTTTGAAAATCTTTTGAAAGTCTTAAGAAAGCTATGGATGAAAAATAGATAAAAAGGTCTCTCCAGGGGCAAAAATAAAAACCCATACCATATGTACAAATACAAGTATGACCAGGAAATTCACGGATCCAAAACTCAGCCATGACTTTTGAACCAGGTTAAGAATCCATACTATAAATAATATTTAATATTATTATTTAATTATTTAATAGTATTTAATAATACACATGCGTACACAGAAACACAGGACTACGCAAGCAGATGTCACCTACCTATTCAAGACACAATAGAAATTTAAAAATAATAAGAGTACTAAACAAACCATCCATGAATATATTTGAACCCTAGATGAAATGAACAAATTCCTAGAAAAATATACAGTACCAAAATTGACACAAGAAAAAATAGAGGACTTAAGGACATCAGTAAGAATGAAAGGAATTGAAACAGTGGCCAAAAACTCTTCTTCCCCCAAAACAACCACACACACACACAGTTCGCTTTACCGATGAGCTTTACCAAACATTTGATTCTTACCCAAGTTGGTCCTAAACTTTTATCCACCATATTACATCTGTACACAGTACTAACCACAAAAGGAGGTGGTTGCCAATCTACTTCTCTCTAGAGGAGGGGCCCATTTGCTCCATATTCCATGACATGCCGGGTAGGTGACACCCTGTGATGGGGGAAAGGCATATATCACCATTTAGATTTCAGTGTCACTGGAAAATAAGCACATTTCCTTCTCTGTTATTGTTTCCTATACGATGGGCACAAGGTCTTAAGGAAAGCTGCTGTTCCTCAGCTCTTGCTGCCTCCTGGAACTGCCATTCAGAAAGCTTTCAGCTTAGGCCAACTAAAACATGGCCTCTTTTTAGTGACAAGTTCAAATTCTCCCCACCCTTCAGGTCTGCCTTCCACCTCCATTTTCTTCCAGATTAAGGTGAAAGAAAAGACTCAGTATTTCTCAGTTCGTCTTTAATTCTGAATAGTTAGAGAAATTTGGGATACCTTTTAGTGAGGTGTTAAACTCAGTGATTCCCAAATAAAAGAACTCCAGCCAGGGGAAGATGACACTTAGATTCTTGGTGCTCACACTTAGTGCAAGTAGTGTCTAGACCTTAAGACCTTTAAAACAGTCAGCCCTTTCCTAGTATTTCGATCCTATCATTTTTTCTTTCTTTTTTTTGGGAGGGATGGATGTTTTCAGCACCTTAAAACTTTTCTCTGATTTACCTACTAACTCCAGGGAAAAAGAACGGGCTCTAGGTAGGCCAAACTCAAAGTTTTAAATGGTATTCTTTTAACATTTGTATACTGAAAGAGCAAACACCGATCATTACAATAAGACGAAGAGTATATTCAATGGAATATATCAGTAAAAATTCAGATGGCTTGATTCAAAGTCAACAAGGGCTCAGTATCAAACTCTAAAAAAGAATTAATTCAAGTTTACCACCAGCAAAGGATGAATTCAAAAATTCTTACCACAACATTTAAACAAAAGTACCATTTTTTGTTATTCGCTTTTTTTTTTAATTCAAATAGTCACTAAAATATTTAATCCCACTCAATTCTGGAGAAGGGGAGACAACCAGTCAAATCTGTACTTTAGAATTGTATATAGATAAAATATAGGAATACCTAACTTTTCCAATGTTTCCTTTCTTTATTTTAATGCTACTTATACACAGTCTAATAAAATACATCTATTTGTTGATCAAGACAAAGATAACCTGGCTATCATTAACACACCCATTTTAAAATAATATCATACTGCAGTTCCATACCTCAACAAGTCCCTGCAAGATTCTAACAAAGATGACACACCCATAATGCACTCTGGCTGCTGATGGGATTAGCATATTCAGGGTAGAGGTAAGAAGTATGGCAGCTCCAAAGACCCTGAAACAGAAAGGAAGTTGGAGATGGTAACACTGCTCAAGTGATTGAACATTTACTACACACACAGATCTAAATTTGTCAGGTCATGTTAAACATTTAAGGCAATTGACCATCACAAACAATTTTAAGATAGTTTTTCTAAAGGAATAAAATATGTTCTGAACTTGATGGGCTAGCCATTGCAAATAGGTGATTTTCTAATCTTAAAATTCTACATTATTGGATACACAAGAAATAAAATAAGGATCTAGTGTATGTGGTTTCTTCATGTATCTTATTACAAATTGGAAATACTGAATGATTCATTGTACATGTGTTCGGTCTATACCCATTGTCATAGTTTGAATTATGTTCCCAAAAAATGTGTGTATCAGTTTGGCTGGGCCATGATTCCCAGAATTGTGTGGATGGCCTCCATTTTGTGATTGTAACACCACCCTTACCCAGGTCACATCCCTGATCCAATGTAAAGGGAGTTTCCCTAGGGCGTGGCCTGGACCACTTTTTACCTTACAACAGATAAAAGGAAAGGGAAGCGAGCAGAGAAGGGGGACCTCATACCATCAAGAAAGCAATGCCAGGAGCAGAGCACGTCCTTTGGACCTGGGGTCCCTGGGCAGAGAAGCTCCTAGTCCTGGGGAACATTCTTGAGAGAGAAAGCCTTCCCCTGGAGCTGTTGCCCTGAATTTGGACTTTTAGCTTACTTGACCGTGAAGAAATAAATTTCTCTTTGTTAAAGCCATCCACTTGTGGTATTTCTGTTATAGCAGCACTAGATGCCTAAGATACCCATCTACGATGTAAGCTGCAAAAGGGCAACAGCCTGTTTTTCATGCCCATTGTTATATCCCATTGTATCCACTGAGCACATGGTACAGTGCCAACACACAGTAGACATTCACTGAAGAGTTTTTGAAAGAATAATGAATTCATGAATGAATACAGTTATGCCTCACATTATACAACTATTTTCAACTTCCTCAGAAGCTGCATATACATAGACAATTTATGAATGGAATCATATTTCAAATGCCTTATAAAATCTCATGATTAGATCCTATAGCACAAACTTTTATAATAACAAATTTTTTGTTGTTAGTTGCCCTTGAGTTGGCTTCAACTCATGGTGACCTAATGTATAACTGAACGAAACATTGCCAGGTCCTGGACCATCTTCATGATCTTTGCTATGTTTGAGTCTGTTTTTGCAGCTATTGTGTCAATCCATCTCATTGAAGGTTTTCCTTGTCTTTCTGGGCCCTCTACTTTACCAAACATGATGTTCTTTTCTAGCGAGTAATACAAATAGCTAATACTTAATGTATCTGTTTAAGGTGTTTTGTTTTTTTAATTTTTGTGGGGGGCTGGTGTTTGAAGCACACCTCTAGCAGCATACATACACACATCAATTCAAGGAGTTTCTGGAAATATGATGCCTAAGACTTTATCCATTAGCAAGTAAAAATTCCATTCCATTATTTAAAAAAAAAAAAGTTTCAATGATGTTCATACAGAGAAAAAAATATTCCCCTTAAAGGGTAATTTTAGACTTTCCTGCAGAGATGTTTTTGGACACACTATCTCTAACATAATTCCAACTCATAGCAACCCTATAGGACAGAGTAAAACTTCTCCATAGGTTTTCCAAGGAGTGGATGGTGGTTTCAAACTGCCAACCTTTTGGTTAGCAGCCTAACACTTAACCACCGAACCAGCAGGGCCTTATCTCTAACAAGCTAAACTCTGTGTTGTAGGTATGTTTTCTCAAGTCGAACATGGAGCCTTGAATTCAGTCAAGTTGGCTGCCTCATAAAAGCACTGATTCTCTCAGGGGACACATATAAATGTGACTGTTTAAAGATGTGGATTCCTTTATGGGACCCTAATCATTACTAAATCTGCTACTGAAATTTCAGAAACAACTTTAGGAAGGGCTGAAGTGCATCGGTGCTTCTTTTTCTGTCAATAATATGCCTGATCAAATATTTTTGTTTACTTGATGCAGCCTAGTATCTGCCTGCCCTTCTTAGTGGCTTCTCTTCCCTGAGGTAAATGGTCACTCATCAGATGAATAATCCTCTGTTCTGTTTGCTGAATAGATTTCTTTGGTTTAAAGTTAAACTTATTTCCTAAAAAATTCTTCTTAAAAGAATGATTATTTCCATTAAGATGCCACACAGGCAGTGATATTAAACTTCTGCCAAATATGAATTTATTTTTTGGAACATAAATGTAAAATCCCAAAACCTGTCTTTATAAAATATAATTCAAAATATACAATTATTATAAAGATTGATTTAAAATGTATTCTGATTAATGATTATTGCTTTAAGTTTAAATAATTTCAGTCTCTTTTTTACTGTGGTAAAATATATATAACAGCACATTTGCCATTTCAACCATTTTTATATATACAATTCAGTGACATTCGCCATGTTGTGCAATCATCACCATTATTCATTTTGAATTTTTTTCATCACCCTTAACAGAAACTCAGTGCCCCTTAAGCAATATCTCCCCATTTCCCCCTTCTACCTGCCCCTAGTAACCTCTAATAAACTTTGTTCTCTATGAATTTGCTTATTTTAGATATTTCATATAAGTGGGACTACAGTAGTCCTTTTGTGCCTGAATTATTTCACTCAGCATGTTTTCAAGATTCACCCATGTCATAGCACGTATCAGATCCATTTCTCTTTACGGCTGAATAATATTCCATTGTATGGATATACCACATTTTATTTACCCATTCATCTGTTCATTCCCTTTAAGGGGAATATTTTTTTCTCTGTATGAACATCATTGAAACTTTTTTTTTTTTAAATAATTTCCACTTTGGGCTGTTGTGAAATAAGTTGCAAATGAGCATTGGTGTAGAAGTATCTGCTTGAGTGCTCGCTTCAGCAGCACATATACTTAAATTGGAACGATACAGAGAAGATTAGCATGGCCCCTGTGCAAGGATGACATGCAAATTCGTGAAGTGTTCCATATTTTTCAGGGGAAGCCAGCACAACTGGACTAAACCAAAGCTAAGAAGTTTCCTCAATACAATCAAATACTTTGAGAGACGGAGTAGCAGGGGTGGGGGGTCTGGGGACCATGCTCTCAGGAGACTTCTAGGTCAATTGGCATAACAAAGCTTATTAAGAAAATGTTCTGCATCCTACTTTGGTAAGTGGCATTTGGGGTCTTAAAAGCTTGCAAGCGGCCATCTAAGATGCATCAATTGGTCCCAACCACCTGGAGTAAAAGAGAACGAAGAACACCAAAGACACAAGGAAAGTATTAGCCCAAGAGACAGAAAGGGCCACATAAACCAGAGACTTCATCAGCCTGAGACCAGAACTAGATGGTACCCGGCTACCACCAATGACCGCCTTGACAGGGAACACAACAGAGTGTCCTGGATGGAGCAGGAGAAAGGTGGGGTGCAGAACTCAAATTCTAGTAAGAACACCAGACTTGATGGTCTGACTGAGACTGGAGGCGCCCCGGAAAGCATGGCCCCTGGACTCTCTATCAGCCCAGAACGAAAACAATTTCCGAGGCCAACTCTTCAGACAGGGATTGGAGTGGACTGTGGGACATAAAGTGATACTCATGTATAATAAGAGTCAAGTAGATACAAGAGACCAAAGGGGCAGCTTCTGTCCAGAGGTGAGATGGGAAGACAGAGAGAGTTAGGAGCTGGTTGAATGGTCATGGGGAATCAGGGGCAGAAAGGAGGAGTGTGCTGTCGCAGAATGGGGTGAGCAATTAGGGTCTCATAACAATGGATGTAAAAAAAAAAATTTGTATGGGAGACTAACTTGAAATGTAAACTTCATTTAATTTCAACAATAAAAAAAAGGAAAAAAAAAATCAGTATCTGCCTGAGTGCCTGCTTTCAAGTCTTTGGGGTTTACACCTAGGAGCAGAACTGTTGGGTCACACAGTAACTTTTTAAGTAAACATATGAGTCATATGTTTAACTTTTTGAGGAACTGCCAAACTGTTTTCCATAGTGGCTACATTATCTTACAATCCCACCAGCAATGGATAAGGGTTCTAATTTCTCCACATAATCACTAAAACTTACCTTTTTCCATTTTTCTAATATCCACCAACTGTCCCATAGGGTATTCAAGGCTATAATCTTTATAGAAGCAGAGTGCCACATCTTTCTCCTGCTGAGCGGCTCATGGGTTCAAACTGTCCACATTTTGGTTAGTAGTTGAGGACTTAACCACTGTGCCACCAGGGCTCCTTTTTCTCACCCTAGACTTTCCAAATCAGAATGTTCTGGGAGCAATCCAGGTGATAATGTGGCATGCCATGGTTTAAGAACAGACATCTTAAAGTTTTCAGCCAGGTTTATCTAATATGTTGTCTTCTTTCCTTCTAATTAGTTGAAGGTATGATGCATGAATTTTATTTTCTGTGAATAGAACTTTCAGTAATAATTGTCTCCCTCTTCGGAGGGTTTTTAAATACTGACAGCTCTAGATAAGCCGGAGAGAGATTAATTTTACCAATTCTTTAGTTTAGGGCTTCTGAACCTCCACACTATCAACACTTCGGGCTAGATAATTCCTTGTTGTGGGGGTCTGTCCTGTGCCCTGTAAGATGTTCAGCAGCATCACTGGCCTCCACCCACTACATACCAGTAGCACACCCCTCTCTGATCCTGACAACCAAAAATGTCTCCAGACTTTGGAAAATCACCCCTCAGTAAAGCTGAAACAATTACAAAATATTTGTCGAGTACCCACTGTGTTATTTTTAGTTGCTGGACAGTCAGGCCCCAATTCAGGGCAATCCCATGAATAATGGTATGGGTTCATTATAATCCACAGGGTTTTCACTGGCTAATTTTTTTGGCAGGGCTTTGAACTGGTTTGGCCAGGTTTGAAACGCTGCTGAGAATTTGCATTTCCACCCCAGATATACTGAATCAGAATCTACATTTTAACAAGATCCCTAGGTGATTCTTATGTATAATAAATTCTGAGAACCCC